AGTTTTAAAAATTACGCTCTAAAAAGTGTTGTTTGAATACATTATGAAACCTTTACCCCCTCGTCATTTATCGTCACTAAAGTTAGACACCCCCCCCCCTCTCTCTCTCCCTAAGGAGTATGACGGCATTTATGGACATCTAACAAAAACAAATGACGAAAATCTGTACTTTTTTTTTATTATTATTATTTTCCCCCCACACAGTTTACTCCACTCGAGCAAGGAGCCCACTGTGCGGATAGGTCGCATTTTTTATTACATGAAAGTTACATGAATTAGCATACAATGTACAATCAGTTTCACGTCTTCATTCTTGTCTCTTCCTGATTTTCAAAATGTCTTTACTTTCTTGCCTTTGGACTTCAGTTTCTTTTCTTGAATCTGCTTTTCCGTCTTGATTATTGTTTCTTCCTGTTTTCAAAATGTCTTTACTTACCTTCCTTTTGTCTTTTCTTGCCTTTCAGTATCTTCAATGATATTGCTTCTTTTATTTCTTCTTTTAATTTTGCTTCTTTATTTTCTCTTTTAATTTATTATTTCTTTTATTGATTCCTATAGAGCTTTGAGTATAGGTTCAATGGTGTCGAGACGGAACATCCTACCTAAGATTGCTCCTAGGTAGGCGTCCGTCTAGCTGAAAAGAATTGATTATTAACCACTCGTACATTGAAGCCACCATAGTACAAGTACTAGGTGACTCTTCTCTAGAGCTGATGCATTCGAGTCGAGGGATGTGTGGGCGCAACACCACAGCGATCTTTTGCATTCAATGCCTCGATGACCAACTTCTCAACCCCGGCAGCCAGCTCTAAAATGGGCTAGCGGCTAGCCGACCAAATAACTAAGATTTATGTAGATCAGGGGTCTCCAAACTTTTCAGACCGAGGGCCGCATTGACTATCAAATCTCAGTTCGAGGGCCAGAGCTTCTTCGGTGTTATGGAGTCCCCCCCCCCCAAAAAAAAAAACTCCACTGGCCCGCCCCCCCCCCCACTAAAATTTATAATTTATATAGAAATATATACACATTTCAAGTGCCGCCCCCCCCCCCGAGAAAAAAATAAAAAATCTGAAAGAAACACTGTCGGTGGCCGACAACACTCTCGAGGTCCAAGTTTACTCTCAAATTATTCTTCACGTATTCTATATCTATGGTTGAGCCCATGTGACCTTATTAAATTCGCCATCTTCACCACAGGATTCAGTACACTGCTAATGTCCATATATTTAGCACACAAAGCTTGCTGATGAATAATAGAGTGCAGGGGCATTGGTTGTAGAATACTTTTCTCATTCGCTTGTCCAACCAAGCCTTTCTTTATGCCACTAATGTACTTTTCCCCCATCAACAGTCAACTGAGGTTAGTCCAGTCCAAGTTATAATCAGCAAATGTTTTCTTGAACTCATTGAATATATCCTCTCCGGTAACAGTGCCATACATATTACGTAGGGAAGCCAGCTCTTGTGTTATGTTCATGTCTTCATCCACACCCCTAATGAACACAAGCAGTTGAGAGGTGGAACAGCTGTCCAGCGACTCATCCATTGCAATTTAAAAAAAAATGAAATGTGCTTGCATTATTCGCTATTTGAGTCACGATGTTTTCACCAATGTCTGCAACACGGTATGCAAAGGTATTTGCGCCCAAAGCTACATTTTCAAATTGTTTTGAATTTTCTGGGCAAAGCTCCTCAGCCACCTCTAACAGATATTTTTTCCGTGGACAAAGGGATGAGGATGAGAGGACCCGCGGGCCGCACGGCCCGCGGGTCGTAGTTTGGAGACCCCTGATGTAGATCCATAACAGATACTACACTTTGATCTTAGCCAAAAGGCCGAGAAGCGATTTGGGACGAAAATGTGTAAACTTTTTTTAAGGTCGTAAGAAATGACTAGCAGCAAGCAATTAAAATTATTTGAAACACATAATTAAAGAAACAAAATGTGAAAACTGGTATTGCTTTTTATGTTTTAAAAATTATACTTTAAAAATTTAAAAAAATGTATTGTGTCACGTTCTGAAATACTTTTCCCCCCATCTTTACTTATCGTCACTAAAGTCTTAACAGGTGTAAGGTCTCTGTTAATTATTTACTCCCAGCTACGGGGCTGATCATCTCAGCGACAGTCTTACTCGAGTTCTTCCCCTTCCCGTCCTTATTATTGTGGCGGCTATCTTGCTGTCAATACCAGTTAGGAGTGTCTGGTGTAGTTTCATGGATTTTTTTTTCCAAGTAATTTATGTGGTTAACACCGGAACAGGCGGTGGCTGGTGATATCCGGCGAGAGCAGGGGCGTTAGCGAGGGGGGGGGGGGCGGGGCGGGGGGTGCGGACCGCACCGGGTGACACCATTTAGGAGGGTGACACCAAGGCAAAAAATGGCAAATATAGAGAGAAAAACTTGAGGGGGGGTGCAAATCGAAAGTTTGAGGGGGGGGGGGGGGTGCAAATAGAAAACTTGAAAGTTTGTCCCCGGTAAGGGTCGCAACGCCTCTGGGGGGGGGGGTGACACCATTGAGTGCCGCACCGGGTGACACCGACCTCGCTACGCCACTGGGCGAGAGTAAATTGTTCAAGTTTTTTTTATAGAGGCCTGAGTCTATGGACAGCCTTGTTTCATTCAAGTCTTGTTTAGAGACCTGTATCAAACCCTGGCAGTGTTTCTTTCATACATTATTCTCCGGTGAGGGGGGCACTTAAAACTTTTGGGAGAGGGCGGACTTAAATTTCCGGGTGGGGAGGGGGGGGGGGTAAACGTGCTTAGGGTGGGGGTGCCTAAAAGAAATTGTGATCCCTGACCATCCTTGATTCACTAAAGTAATTCACTCAACTTAGTTTTGAGACCCATATACCAGAAAATCCTTGATTCACTAAAGTGATTTACCAAACTTTGGTTAGAGACTAAAGTGATTCACCAAACGTTACACGTACGTTCCCTTATAGAGCCTAGGACCTCTCAACAATAATCACGTTTTTTAGAAGTAATTCACTCAACTTAGTTTTGAGACCCATATACCAGAAAATCCTTGATTCACTAAAGTGATTCACCAAATTTTGGTTAGAGGCCTACATACCTGACTATCCTTGATTCACTAAAATGATTCACCAAATTTTGGTTAGAGGCCTACATACCTGACTATCCTTGATTCACTAAAGTGATTCACCGAAACTTTGGTTAGAGACCCATATACCTGACTATCCTTGATTCACTAAAGTGATTCACCCAAACTTTGGTTAGAGACCTATATACCTGACCATCCTTGATTCACTAAAGTGATTTACCAAACGTTACACGTACGTTCTCTTATAGAGCCTAGGACCTCTCAACAATAATCACGTTTTTTTTAAAAACATGAGCGGTTCTAGCCGGGAAAAGATGTGCATCTACATGTTCACTGTTTAGGCCTTTGTTTTGTCTTAAAGGGACAGTGATTAACACGATAAATAAATAGTAGATTAAAATAGCAAAAATATCCCCCTTTCACCAACATTCAGGAAAAGTTGCACCAGAAGTTGTAAACTATCGATTCATGGTTGTAATCCGGATAATTAACCTCATAGCTTCATCTTAAATTTATTGTGCTTGTTTGCCTAGCTTTAGGCTGGTGTAATGAAGGAAGGAGGGGAGGGGGGGAGGGCGTTGTTAAGATAACGCTTAATTTCACTATCGTTGAATTGTGGGGAGTGGGGGACTGGTTAACCACACTTCGTCATTCATGTACACCGATACACGATACACACACATGAACGGACGTGTGTGGTTGGTTTTGTGTAAGGAGGTGTGTGTGTGGTTAGTTTTGTGTACGGAGGTGTGTGTGTGTGTGTGGTTAATTTTGTAATCCCACTTGACAAAAAAACAACTAAAGTTTCTGCTAAACCAAGAGTCAAGAAACCAAAACACCAAATATTATGCATTCTAATCTATGGTCTGAAGATTGACGGAGTTTCTCTTAGGCATCCTCGAGCGAGTCCAACCCCCCCCCCCCCCCCCCCACCCATACACAAAGTAGAAAAAAATATATAATTTATAAAGAAAAAATATATATACTTTAACCAGCGTCCAGCAACCTCCCTCCCCCCCCCCCCCACACACTCACACAACCTACAAGAAAGTGAAAAAAAAACAACTAAAAATTGCGTCACTAAGGAGAGTCCTAACCACTCCTACATTTTGGGAGGCAACTTAGCTAACCATTACACCGCCGTCATCGGCTTTAAATTCAAAGTGTCAATTTTTTAAACATACCCGATAAAGTGAACTGTTTATCAAAATGTTCTAGTTCTAAAAATCAAAAACATGTTACAGATGTGAGCTGTGGGATTAGACCAACCACCATGTGTTAACTATTGATTTATTTAAATAACTAAAACAAAAACAAGAGTTCGCCTCTCGCTATCAATGTGTTGAAGAAATTCACGTCATTGGCAGTGTAACTAACGTGAAGATAAAGGTTTAACTAAGTTGATTAAAATAGTTTTTGTCAACATAGGCGTGGGATAGGTGACATGTTTTATGATGTACGCCAAAAATAAAACAGCCGGAAGTGCTTCGTAGGGGAAGATTTTCTAAAACACACGTGGTCCTTACCATGAGAATTTCATTGTGGTGTCACCCTCCCTCCCTTGGATGGTGCCACCTAAAGCGGACCGCACCCCCGCCCTGGCCTAGTGACGCTACAGCTCAACAAAAAACGCTGGGCTGGTAATTAAAAAAAATAAAAGTATGCTTTGTTTAAAAAACATGTTTACGAAACAAAACAATCAGACAATGACTTTAAAAAGTTGACAACGTTGGCCATGTAATGGTGTAACGGCCAGACAAGCAGAAACATGACTCACATCTCCATTGAGGAGAGTTTTTAATTTATTGCATGCTGTAAAAAAAATGTCGCCATTTTGTTAAGAAGTACACGATTGCGTGGTTTAGTTATAAATAACTGATAAGGATTGAGCCTCGTTTTGACTGTATTGTTAGCCGCTAGCCAATAAAAAGGCAAGACGGACTTGAAGCTGCTTTAATATTGGGTTTACTGATTAGTTTCCTCAACTAATCGAAAAGTTTTTCGCTCCCTATTTAACGTGCTATATACAATTTGTGTTTATTACATTTAGAGATAAACTAAACAGCTTTAGTTTAGAAGTTTCGCTCAAGTAAAACACAGAACACTTCATATACAGAGGATTACCAGTTTTTCTACATCGAAGGCGTTTAAAAAAATGAATATGATGCAGTTGTTATCGGTTCTGTTGTTATGTTCTTGTTATGGTAAAGATTTTAAATATTTTGGCGTGGACAGGATTATTTCTAGAGGGACGGAGAAAAAAAAAATTAAACATAATTACACATTTTTTTTACCCTAAGTAAAATTTTAATATACGTCAGTTTTTTAATCATCGATAGAGGTAGGCGTGGTCGGGTCGGTAAAGCACATAGTTGCTAAACCGAAAAACCTGAGTTCGACCCCCGGGCAGATGAAGCAGATGAAGTTTGATAGCTCGGGAGAAAACTCCAAAATCAAACCTTTGCTGCCGTAGTTTGTTCTAGGATGGACAAAAGCAAATCCAGACAGAAAAGCAGGCTGAAACCGGAGTCATATATGGTGTCCAATATTGCATTTAAGAGCGAAGAAGAAGAAGAATCATTGATCACACTTTGTTCGCCTATTTCTGATATTATCTGCCGTAAAACATATTTGTGATGTAACTATTGTTAGGGTAATGTTATAATGGGCATATTAGTTTCCGACTCTAACTTGTATGTATTGAATTGTTTTAGCTTACCGATCGTAAGTATTCAATTATTTTAGTTTACCAAATGTATTCAATTGTTTTAGCTTACCAACTGTGTGTTTTGAATTGTTTTAGCTTACCAAGTGAATGCTGAGTGCAGTAACTCAACTCGTGAGTAAATCTTACACGTGCCTTTTTATTATTATTATCTTTATTATTCGATTTCAGATTTAAAAAAAAATATTGCCTTTATAATTTCATTTTAGATTTTTTACGATGCTTACTTTATAATTCTGTTACATTTTTAAAATGATTATTATGTTTATATTTATTAATATTGCATAATGATAATTCTATTTTAGATATTTGTTCATGATTAACTAATTGTTCATTGATTGCTAAGTTTACATTCCCAGCAATTTTTTGTAAACGAATTAGCCCAGTGTTTCTTGCAGACTTTTTTTCTCCCGGGGGGGGGGCTACTACGATTTCACGGGGTGGGGGGAGGGAGGGAGGGGCGGACACTGTTAAAAGTATATACTTTCTATATAAATTCCATTTCATTCGAGGGGGTTGGTGGGCGGCGGTAGACTTTCTTCTTCCCCTCGAAGAGATGCCTGGAAGAAACTCTGATTGGCTAGATATGATGTAAGCCTGATCTTGTTGGATAACTGATTTTTTGTATTCGATTAAAACTGTCGGTTTTCTTGGCTATTAAAACCAGAAGGAAATTAAATTCTGTTCTTTGGTAGTTATTGTTTCATATTTCATCCAATAATTTCTGTTTAAAAAAAAAAAAACATTGCCAAATTGGTTTAATAATATTTTTTTAAAATGTTTAATGCAGCACCAGTGATCCGCGAAAAAACCAATGCAACCAAATTTGTTTCTCTGGGAGATTACACGCTCTTGTGTGTTACAGACTGCACAGAAGTAGAGTGGCTGAAGTAAGTTTTCCGTTGTTTTATTTTTGTCCGATTTTATTTTTGTCCGATTTTATTTTTGTCCTATTTTAATTTTGTCCGATTTTATTTTTGTCCTACTTTAATTTTGTCCGATTTTATTTTTGTCCGATTTTATTTTTGTCCGATTTTAATTTTGTCCGATTTTATTTTTGCCCGGGCGGTGGGGTAGGGGGAAGGAAGGAAGGACGGAGAATCGTCGCACATCTCGGAGTGGGGGAGGGGGGGGGCTGGGATTTTGTTTCGATACAGGCCAAGTGGATTGTAAGAAACCATTTTTTTAAAAAATGAAAATGCTAAGCAACTTCGATTTTCCATATTCTTTTTTAGTGGGGGAGGTGTGATTTGGAGATGGTGGTGGTGGTGGGGGGGGGGGGGGGGGGGGGGTAAGTACAACTTTTTTACTTCATTTGAGGCAAGTGGCTGTTTAGTGATGTTTGAGAACTGGGTGTGGAGATTTTTTTTTAAATATAGCTTTAAAGACTATGTCGTCATTTATGGACACCGCCCCCTTTAATGTCAATACGTTGGACGTGTTGATGGGATGGAAGGGGTTGAGAGTATAATTGTGTATTACTACACAACATGACTATGATATCAACTGCAAAAAATTGGACTAACACTATATTAAAGAATATAATGAAATGGTTCATGTATTTTACAATTAATCTGTGTGTGTGTGTGTACCTGTATGTATGTGTGTTTCAATGTGTGTGTGTGTGCGTGCGTGCGCGCATGCGCGCATGCGCGCGCGCACACACACACATACACACACAGAGACATACGGACAAAATTGCAAAACTATGTTTTTCCGACTAAGGGAGGTGTAAAACGTCGAGATTTGTAAAAAAAAAAAAAATATCGATTTTTTTTTAATTGCACGATTACAATACTTCCTTCATACTTCGTATACGAGAAAGTAAAAAAAAAAAAAAACAACGAATTTTTAACAATATTTTTAATGAGCTAAAACTAAGGTCCTTTCTGTCTTGAACAGAGATGATTTGGAAATAGAAAACATTACCTCTACGGAGTATGCAATCAGTAACGCCACAGCTAATGACAACGGCAACTATACTTGTAGAATTACTGTCAACGAAACAAGCGCAGCCTTCACTTTTATTGTAGACATAAGTGAGTAGCATTTTACACATTCAATATACAGTATAATGTTTGGTTTTTATTTTAATTTTATTGAGAAATTAGACTATTATACTACACACAGAAACACACATATCTATATATATAATTCTCTTCTGGGAGCCGTTAGAAAACAAGCTGCAAGCGCGCCTTACAGTCCCCTCTCTTCCTCTCTATCGCTACCACCCCCCCCCCCACCCCCTCACATGGTCTGGTGAGCTGTGGTTCACGCTGTTTACATTTTACAATCATAGAGACGGGTTTGGTGACGGCTATTAGGGGCAGATAATTTAGTTTGAAACGATTTTAAACTTAGAGGAGGTAACTAAGAGGAGGCTGCTTTCACGTGGGGGGGGGGGGGGTTTAGTGTTTTTAAGCAAATATTTTCAGTGGCAGCATTGGTACTGTCGAATTCACAAATTATAAATTACTGGAAAGTAGAAAAAAAAACAACAACTAAATAGCGGCGTATGATACGCAGCGGGTCGGCTCGTATACATATATTTATCATCTTGGGCCGATGCAGTATGCTCTCTCCTCGTTTGTCGGTCTAAAACTAATTTCCTAGCAGTCCCTCATGATTTAGATTATTTATCTCACATAAAATCTCCTTTAACACACATTTAAAAACCTTCATACAAAAACAAATGGAATTACACTTTAAAAAATCGCGAGACGTAAAAATGCAGAAAAATCTGCTCACGTGTGAATGTTTATTGACAGATGTGCCAGGAAAGCCATGCAAGACAAACGAGGACTGCAGAGGGAAGGAATACACTGGAACATGCAGCAACTTCAGGTGCTCCTGTGCTGCCACCCACCACCCAGAAGGCGTTACGTGCCTAGGTAACGTGGATCTATGTGATATCTCTACAACCAGAGGCGTTGCGAGGGGGGGGGGGGGGCGGGGTGCACCGGGTGACACCATTTAGGGGGGGGGGGTGACACCAAGGCAAAAAAAAAAAAGCAAAATATGTAGAGAAAAATGATAATTCCACTTAATTAAGTGATTAATTCGAGTGTTAAATATTCTTTTAAGAGGTGCAAATCGAAAGTTTGAGGGGAGGGGGGGGGGGGCAAATCGAAAGTTTGAGGGGGGGTGCAAATCGAAAATTGAAAGTTTGTCTCGGGAAGGGTCGCTACGCCTCTGGGGGGTGACACCATTAAGTGCCGCACCGGGTGACACCCGACCTCTGTCTACAACTACAGCCCGTACATAGGAAAAACTCTAGATCTTTCAGCGTCATTATGGTTTGAATTCGGTTTACAAACAGTACTTTTAAAAAGCCAGTTTCATGCATTTCCGTTTGACGGAAAAATTTGGGAGCATATCGAATAAAGATAGACCATTTTCGGTGGCTCTTCTTTAATCCAGCAATAAAACCAGTGTAAATAGCCCAGCTTGTTGGGTAACCTGGTTCAGTTTCAACCAGGTTAACACAACAACAACAAAGCAAACCAAAACATTTAAAGTTATAAGTTAATCATGTGCTGTCACTTAAAATGACAAAGCCGTATATGTTCCCTTCTAGCCACAGATCCGTGCCGACACTTTGAGACAATCGTAATCTGCCAACGTCATGCTTTTTTTGACAATTGCCCCTTCTCCCTCCCCCCCCCCCCCATCTCCCCAACGTCATACACATTCACAAAAATTAGAACCCCCTCCTTAAAATGACTTAGCACTTCATCCTACACTCCCCATCATCAATTATCCCAAAATTTCGGGGTAGACACAGATAACGTGAACACTGATTTGTTGTGAACCCCCACCCATCCCACATGTGCCGCTGTCCCTACCTCTGGCTGTAGATAAATAATCACAGTAGCTAGTTTTTACTTATGTAACAACTCAAAGAAGAAAACAATTCTTGACTAAAACCCAAATACGACTCGTAATACAAGTTTTAGATTTTACACAACTAAACAACAATTTCACATGAATAGATATTTTACCGTTGGCCGAGCTGGAAATTGTCCAGTTATCAGTGTTTAGTACATCGTTACATTATTGTACAAGGATTGCCGTATGCTAACAGTAACAAACACGAAACAATATTTAAAAAAACACTAATGTTTGACGTTATTGTCTTCTGTTGGTTTTTCTTACTGTCGTCCCCCGGATTTTGTTGGTCTTGTTCGTGCAGGTGCATGACTTTCACCTGTAATATCTGTTCTGCAATGACCTGTGACAGGGGTGGATTAAGCTTGTGCGGGGCCCCGGGCTGCAACTTTTTGGGGCCCCTGATATACATATATAAATATATATATATATATATATATATATATATATATATATATATATATATATATATATATATATATATATATATATATATATATATATATATATATATATATATATATATATATATATATATATATTTATTTATTTATTTATTTATTTATTTATATATATATATATATACATATTGGTTAGCCTTTTTGTATCCAATTGGCCGCTCATTGAACATGACATCTTTTTAAATTAGCAGTTTTGAGTACTTGTGTTTGATATTTTGAAAAAAAAAAAATAAGCTTATGATTCAAATATTAAAGTACGAGCCGACCCGCGGCGTATCATACGCCGCTATTTAGTTGTTTTATTTTCTACTTTTCAGTCATTCATAATTTGTGAATTCGACCTTGCCAATGCTGCCACTTAATATATTTGCTTTAAAACACTATCAGTTAAAGACGATACCCCCCCTCCTTTCCCCAACCCCTTACAGCCGCCCCCCCCCCTGTTAAAGTAGCCTCCTCTTAGTTACCTCTTAGTTTAAAATCGTTTTAAACTAAATGATCTGCCCCTAATAGCCGTTACTAAACCCGGCTCTACGATTGTAAACATTTAGCGTGAACCACAGCTCACCAGACCATGTAGGGGTGGGGGTGGTAGGGAGCGCGCTTACAGCTAGGTGTTTTCTATGGTCTCCAAGAAGAGAATTATATATATAGATTGTTTTTATAGTAAAAAAAACCCCAACAGTTACGCTTTGTAGTGAAATTTTTGTAGTGCAATATATATTTGGGGGCCCCTAAAATCGGGGCCCTCGGGTTGCAGCCCTCTCAGCCCCTCCCCCAATTTGCCACTGACCTATGGTATAGGTTTCTCGTGTTAACAAAAGAAGTGGTGGGGTATCAGAGCAACGTGACCAGATGTGACGGATATCTGGCGGCTAAAATCAATACGAGAACTGTGTGACGTCTATCTATTTTTGTTATCAATTGATTACGTTGTATTGTGAGCAGTTAATGCTAGTTTTATCACACAACACGATTTTTGTTATCAATTGATTAAACTCGGGTGTGAGTAGCTACGGTTAAGTTTAGGATGTAGCCTATAATACGCATTGCTGCCGGTTAGATTCTCCAATATAGCTTTAGTTTCAAGAATAGACCAGCAGGTACACATGACGATCCAATCAGTTGTTTTCACTTTGACCAGAGTGCATCAACGCATCACTTTCGTTGTTTTGGTTTCAATCTAAAATCAATCAACTCAGTGTTTGAGGAGTCATTCGCAAAGGGAAAAATTGCCAGATATAAAATATTACCAGATAACAAAAAAAATATATCAACATAACAAGAATTACCAAATAGCAAAAATCACCAAATAACAAAAATCACTTAATAACAAAAATCACCTGATAACAAAAATTACCAAATAACATAAATTACCTAAATAATAAAAATAAGAATTTAAACTAAATAGATCTAGTTACCGTCAGTGTTCCTTCCATGCATCTCTTCGGGGAAAGTCTACCGCCCCCCCCCCCCCCCCCCGAACGAAATGGAACTTTATATAGAAAAAATAACAGTGTCCGCCCCCTCCCCCCGGAAGTTTTTATAAATATTTTTAAAATATATGGGGGGGGGTCCAATCTGGTCCAATCCATCCCCGTTTGCCCTTTTGTATATTTTTGCCATTATGGTCTTGTCCAGTTTTTCTCCACAGTTCGGCATTAACGTGCAAAGATATTAACTTACAAAATTGTATTATGTTTTTTTAATATTATATTATAAATACCAATGTGGGCCCTGCTAGGGGGGGGATACCTTACAATCTATCTCTACCCTTCCCTAGGCTTATCTAACTAACTACCGTCCGGTCAGTGCAAGCCCGGCTAAACCCAGGCTGGTTAATAACCTAACCTTAGTCTAAATTAAAAAGACAGAAACACTTTAACAAATTAATAAAATTTATTTCATGGAACCAAAATTATATAAATAAAAAAATAGATTAACAAAACAGAACTTTAACGTAGCAAAACAAACTTTTTACACCACACAAAACATTACGTTTGACCATTTGATGGTGTTGCGCCGACTTATGATGTCTAGGATGGTCCAGGCCCTGACACACAGAAACCTCCCTTCATCCATTCTCGACATCCAAAAGTCCACACCAAACAAAACACTACGTAAAACCACTACGTACAATACGTTACGTACAATACATTACGTAGAAAACAATACGTACACAACAAACTCTTTAAACCAAACAAAACAATTCATATATAACAAAACACCCAGCCAAGTTGCACAAGCAACCTCACTGGAAGGGGGGGGGGAAGAGAAAAAGAAAAGGAAAACATAAGAAAAATGCATGGAAAAATATATACATCAATATATACATATGTTTAAATTACTACCTACTACTACTATCTAGCTAAAGCCTCGAGTAAAACTAATCCTTACTATACAATTCTAAAAGCAATTCTCAAAAACAACTAACCACTGTCTAAAGAACTAGCAACTTAAAAATAACGTGTAAACAAATTCATCGTAGAACCAATCTTTCCTACACAAGGAAGCCCGAAGCCATTGGTCTACATAAACAATATCCATATTGATAACATTAAAGTTAACACACTCCGCTAAGGCCCCAATGAAGGCAGACACAAAGCAAGCGATACTCAACATGACGTTGCACGAAACAGCACACACATTAATTTTAAACAACCTAAAACTCGAGGCAACTAAAATATACTAATCTAATTACTGTCTAAAACAACTGACTATTAACTAAGCCAACCCTAGTCAATAACACATCATAAAACAATCAGGTAAATGCACACACGCATTCACACTAGTTTAGGAAACACTCCTAAACACACTGGCCTAAACCACGTGGTCCGAAACACACGCCACGGGTTTAGAAAACATCAAAAATACATTTTAATTCAAAATAACAAAATAACACACCACGTGCATACCAGACATGCCGATGCTCACTATCTCGTTTTAGACGAAAATGAAAGAAAACGAGAAACATCGTCAGTCGCATTCATACAAATCACATAAAGATAAAGTATAAAAAAACAAATACCTCCACGCGTGCGGTGCGCCACGCAGAAACCTGACCCGACCTACATCTCGCCGCGGGTCAAAAAAAAGGAAGAAAATCACTCCGAGCGGTCAATTTATACTGACCGCTTCGAGCGGAAGGGGGACCCCGTGCTGTTCCCCATTGGACCACCATGCACTCCCAGATTCGCAACAAATAAAATTAATACAAAATAAATAATCCATTCACCCGCTCACATTCACCCCTTTTAAAAATCTTACAGTCCCTGTAAGACAAAAAAATTGCATAAAACAATCTTAAAATAAAACATGCACCCATCTCTTACACCAAGCCTATAAGCTTGAATGCAAGAAAAACGAAACAATGTACAATAACATTAATCTTGCGTCTCTGTGCTCCCTAAAAAACTCAAGGCACCAAGATAGTGTTCCCTTCACTGAGGGCTGATTCGCGCTACTAGTCCTGTCGGCCTTTCATCCGGAAGGGCAAGGGGGGAGGGTCAGCCTAGACCCGCCCGCTATTAATGGCACACGTTGCCTGTCCATCCCGTCCACCTGGGTCCACTACACAACACACCGTGTTCTGGTTCTGGCCTCAGCGTAAGACCACCGGTAAAACGTCCGCTTGTTTGGTCCGGAGATGATGCAACCGCCTTGACCCACTGGCTCTCCGACTGTTACCCGCCCCCAACGATCGTGCCTCCGCTTCGACACACCTGTGGGGCGGGTGTCCAGTAGCCCTCTTTGTGGGTCAAGGAATTGACCTCATTGGCCTCTCGTTGGTGGGGAGCGTCCGCTTGGTTGGGCCAAGTGGTGGCGCAACCGCCTTGCCCCACTGGCTCTCCGACTGTTACCCGCCTCCAATGATCGTGTGTCCGCCTCGACACACCTGTGGGGCGGGTGTCCAGTAGCCCTCTTTGTGGGTCAAGGGGTTGACGTCATAGGCCTCTCGTTGTTCACCGGTCTGCCGTACACACCAGATCCGCGCCACGCCCGTGTGTGTTGTCCAGTCTAGACCACACGAGGCCGCCATCTTCATCACACGCCAGGTCCAGTGCCACACACCGTGCCTTGTCCAGCCACGCACACTGAAGGCTCGTCGAGGCACGTCTCTCCGCCAACCTGACTGGGTGTTTAAACAACAAACAATTCCTACACTACACACAAACTAAACACATATGGTTCCAAAAGGGCCTATCAAGAACAAACAAATTTAACTAAGCTACACTAGCCCTAGTAAAAAAACAAAAATTTAACTAGACTAAAGCACTGACCCCACTCGTGCTACCAATTTGTGGGCCCTGCTAGGGGGGGGGGATACCTTACAATCTATCTCTACCCTTCCCTAGGCTTATCTAACTAACTACCGTCCGGTCAGTGCAAGCCCGGCTAAACCCAGGCTGGTTAATAACCTAACCTTAGTCTAAATTAAAAAGACAGAAACACTTTAACAAATTAATAAAATTTATTTCATGGAACCAAAATTATATAAATAAAAAAATAGATTAACAAAACAGAACTTTAACGTAGCAAAACAAACTTTTTACACCACACAAAACATTACGTTTGACCATTTGATGGTGTTGCGCCGACTTATGATGTCTAGGATGGTCCAGGCCCTGACACACAGAAACCTCCCTTCATCCATTCTCGACATCCAAAAGTCCACACCAAACAAAACACTACGTAAAACCACTACGTACAATACGTTACGTACAATACATTACGTAGAAAACAATACGTACACAACAAACTCTTTAAACCAAACAAAACAATTCATATATAACAAAACACCCAGCCAAGTTGCACAAGCAACCTCACTGGAAGGGGGGGGGGAAGAGAAAAAGAAAAGGAAAACATAAGAAAAATGCATGGAAAAATATATACATCAATATATACATATGTTTAAATTACTACCTACTACTACTATCTAGCTAAAGCCTCGAGTAAAACTAATCCTTACTATACAATTCTAAAAGCAATTCTCAAAAACAACTAACCACTGTCTAAAGAACTAGCAACTTAAAAATAACGTGTAAACAAATTCATCGTAGAACCAATCTTTCCTACACAAGGAAGCCCGAAGCCATTGGTCTACATAAACAATATCCATATTGATAACATTAAAGTTAACACACTCCGCTAAGGCCCCAATGAAGGCAGACACAAAGCAAGCGATACTCAACATGACGTTGCACGAAACAGCACACACATTAATTTTAAACAACCTAAAACTCGAGGCAACTAAAATATACTAATCTAATTACTGTCTAAAACAACTGACTATTAACTAAGCCAACCCTAGTCAATAACACATCATAAAACAATCAGGTAAATGCACACACGCATTCACACTAGTTTAGGAAACACTCCTAAACACACTGGCCTAAACCACGTGGTCCGAAACACACGCCACGGGTTTAGAAAACATCAAAAATACATTTTAATTCAAAATAACAAAATAACACACCACGTGCATACCAGACATGCCGATGCTCACTATCTCGTTTTAGACGAAAATGAAAGAAAACGAGAAACATCGTCAGTCGCATTCATACAAATCACATAAAGATAAAGTATAAAAAAACAAATACCTCCACGCGTGCGGTGCGCCACGCAGAAACCTGACACGACCTACATCTCGCCGCGGGTCAAAAAAAAGGAAGAAAATCACTCCGAGCGGTCAATTTATACTGACCGCTTCGAGCGGAAGGGGGACCCCGTGCTGTTCCCCATTGGACCACCATGCACTCCCAGATTCGCAACAAATAAAATTAATACAAAATAAATAATCCATTCACCCGCTCACACCAAAAACTGATTTTTTAAAATTTTATTTTAAATATGTTAAAGTTTTAAAACTCGGAAATAACGTGTGTTCTTTTTTTCTTCTCTCTACAGCACACAACAGCGCCTCTGCCATTTTGAACTCGGCTCTTCTCGTCATTGGGGCTGTCCTCGCCGCGCGCCTCGTGATGGTTTCCGGTTAAAGTTTTCTGCTATTTTTCCGTCCATTTTTTTTTTACACAAAACTATTTTGCCTAATTTAAACTTTGAAATATTTTTGATATCTTTGACAAAGTGTGGCTTTTATCTCTAAGCCTACCTGCATAAGAAATTTTTAACCTAATGGATTTTTTTGTTGTTGAACGGAGCTAATTCCATTGTTTTGCCTATGTATTAGATCATCTATAATACAGTTAGATCTAAAGTATATTTGTTATTATTCTTAACGTTAGTGTTGGCCACAGATGAAGCTGAAACGAAGCCCCGTGGATGTAGGTCATTTATTCCATGTTCACACGATCCTATACAACAGCATTCCGAGACTCGTGTTAACCGCGCGGCTCCGCTGTTGAGCAAGCGTGTGCTACAGAGTTTCTTTCAGGCATCTTTTCAACTGCCCCCCTCCACCCATGGACAAAATGAATTTTTTAAAAATAATTTATATAGTAAATATACTTTTACCCAGCGTCGTCCCCCCACCGAAAAAAAAAATGTCTGAAAGAAACCTTGGTCGCAGAGAATGGCCTCGCTATTTACGTTCACATTCGACTGATATTCCATCTTCTCCTCCCCCACCCCTCAACATGCAAGCAAGTAAAATATACATCTTCAATCCTGACATCATTAAGATAAAAACGGTCGGTGGGTGGGGTGGTGACAAATCTGCTTTTTTTATGACAATGTAGATCTACTTTGCTGTTAACATAAGGATATTCGTTTTAAAAAAAGTTGCAGTTACATTTCTTTACAATTTATTATATACATAGTTGTTTTCTTACCATTTAGGCTTACTTCCCTTGTAATTAAAAAAAAAAGTTCCACATTCCATTTTATACTATTTTTAAATGCCCAATACGGCTGTATGTTTTATTATCTGGTAAGTGTTACAAGTAGGTAAAATAATGCATCAATTAATTATATTTCAATGTTTTCCTTTACTGGTGTCAAAGATATTTGATTTAAATGAGATGGTAAAAAAAGGGGTCTCTGAATATTTCAAAAGGAGAGAAAAATAACAGAAAAATTATCACTATCTCAGAATCTCCTCTTACTTTTTTTTTATGGTAATGACAACTTACTTAATAAAGAAAAATACAATTCTAAAGATTATTGTTTAACAGGTTTAAATTAAAATGTATATATTAATACAATAATGAAACTCAGCCATAATGAAAATCTTCGGATTTGAGGTGGTTGAAATAATTTTTACGTTCCGTCAATTTTGCTTATATTTTTGAAAAATTAAATTATACGCTAATGTACGTGATGGTGACCTGGTATGTTTGTTGTAGTTTTTAATTGTATTTTCTAATAGATGTGACTTCTTATACAATATTTTACATTCTGCTAAAATGTTGATGTATTTTTAAATAAAGGTCTACAACTCTCGTAATTGTTCTGCATTGATGTATATTATCTTTCTTGAGTAAGCTTACTCCACCAGTTGGATTTTTAAAAATTAAATTAATAAATCACATGATAGGAAGACAGGGCTTTTTATGTGCGGTCCAGTAATAAGATATTTAAACCATTGCTTGTTAACAACTCTTATGTTGTAAACACGACTTAAACTAGACTTATTATTTTGGTGTTGTATTGCAAGCCTGTGGAATAGCCAAGAATTGCTTCCCTTGCTAAGTAGCTCTTCACTGAAACTAAATTCTTCAAAATCACCATCAACATGAATGACAAGAAACATGTTCTTTTTAAAAGTATGAAAAGAGATAGGTGAACAGAAAAGTCAGCAGTAAAAACATTTCTATACATTTTAATACACATGATACAGTCATATCAAGTCTGGCAATTACAAAGTTACAAAATCTTATTTGGCAACTCATATGAGAAGCCACAGCAACATCAACAGGGCACAATACTCTGACAGATAGTTTATCGGCTCATGGGAGGATTTGAAATAAATATAAAGGCTGCGTTTAAACTTCAAACAAAATAATTCGATAAATGCTTGTTCAAAATATCATATATATATATATATATATATATATATATATATATATATATATATATATATATATATATATATATATATATATATATTAATGGTTGGCAGCACTATGATTTAAAAAACTTTTAAAATAATTTCCTCTAAACAATATTTATAGTCACAATGTTTGATTTCTGATACTTTAACTTGAAATAGAATCTACATTGAAACAAACGTTACACATATTTAATCACTTTCTTAAAGAAAAAGTTTTAAAATAATTTGTTTTGAAATGAAAATAAGTAAGTAAGAATGTTCAACATAAATGAAGTGCTATAGTTAATGAAAAAAAATTAGACTTATGCAGCTCTATGTACATGGGCTGCCAACCACTCTTTGATAAAAGATATTTAACTTCACATTGAAATAAAGATGATTTTAGCTGGAGTTACAGAAATTTTAGCTGTTCCAATCAATTACAGCTCTTTACTAACAGCCATAGAACGTTTTTGACTTTGTAGCCACAGTTCTAACAGCAGGAAGAAAAGGGAAGCAACCAAGATAAAAACAGCAATGAGAAGTGGATCATAAATATCAAGCAGAGTACTGTGCCCTTCCTCAGGTCAGTCCAGCTCATCCGGCCTCACAGGATGAGGCAGAGGAATCACAGACTTTTTGTCCTTGTCTCGAGATAATGCTTTCCTCATGTCTGAAATTTAAAAAATTTTATATCGTCAGAGAACACAACATATAAAAGTGATGTGGACAAAAGTACATCTCTCTTATACATCTGTATCAGGTGCAATAATTGTTTATTCTAAAGACTAGAAACTGGGCCATATTTGGCAGTTTTAGTCCTGAAAAAGATCTTTCTCTCTCTCTGAAACCTTGTATATTATTAAACTAATATAAATAGTTGAATGCCAGAGCGAAAAAACTCTACTTGAGTTTAGATTTCTTAAATAAAGCTTTAAAGCTGCTTTTTTTATTTGTTAGCTATTGTAAGATACTAGGAAAAAATCTTACCAAAAGCATCTTCATCTACTTCTCCAGAGTAGTATTCTAAGACTCGTCTATATACACTATAACCCAATTTTTCATACATCGCAACTGCCACTTTATTTGATACTCGCACAAATAAATCTACAAAATAACAGCGTTTCCTGAAAAATTAGTAGCAAAGTATAAATATCCCAATCAACCTATTTTTATATAAAGAAAAGAAATATAACAAGATTTTACTTTGTTATATTTCTTTTGTTAATATAAAATATATAAAATGAAATTTTTAAAATATAAAACAAAAATGGATTAGTATGACAATTTAAAAAAAAAACTATTTTTCAATGCATCTACTGGTCAAAGAGTCTCCTATGATTAATTTCACAGTATGAATAAATCCTTGATAACAACAGATATACCATTTGAATTTTTTTAAAAATAGTTATGGATTGAAATTGCAACATGGGTCAAGATTAGATTATATTTATCACCCAGGGTTCACAAAATCCTTGACGTAACTCAACTAAAAATTATATTTTGACAATCCTTCTAATCATTTACAGAATATTTTCTAAATTAGTTTGTGACATTTTAGAGTATATTTTGCAATTTTACAGCCTTTTTCTAAGAAAAAAGCTTTAATTGATCCGTATAATCTAATCTTGACCCATATTAGTAATTTTTTTTAGATAGAAATATTTGTTTTGAAAAGCCATAATTGCAATAGGGCTGGTAAGTAGGTCACCAACCAGTTCTACAGCTCAATAAAAACTGCATGAGCCATAGAGCTGGTTGGTGACCTACTTACCAGCCCTATTGGGGGAGGAGTGTAAAAAAAAAGTATGGTGTGATTGTAGGGGGGAGATAAAGCCATTAAAAATTATGACGTCATTTAAGAATAACCCTCTTATGCCAAATTGACTGATACCTTTCTGAAATCTCTTCCAGTCCATTCATCAGTTTTCCAGCCAAACCCAGTCTTCTGAATTCAGGGGCAACACTCAAAGCTGTGACATGGCCATGCCACTGTTCTCCAGAACCTTCAGCTTTCCCCATTACTGGGTTAGAAAAATATTAGATCACAGTGTAAGATTTAAAAATCTGACAGGCAAAATGTTAATTTTACAAATTAATTTAATTTACACAACTTTTAAGAGAAAAAAAATAATAAGACAATATCAATAAAGGGAGGTAATATGAAACTAATCAAAAGACAAATGAAAGACTTCTCTTTAGGAGACATCATAGAAATGATGAAAGTAAAATGTTGCTAAAGAATGTCAGGGGAGAATAACAAAATCACTGCAAAAATTAGGTGTCCATTTGCAGTTGTTTGACTAAATGTATTTAAGAATAACAAAATTAAAATATCCTTTGAATTTAATTAATAATGTATTTAAATAAAATAAAAAAGAATAAACATGAAAAATATCAAGATTAATAGATCTAGAAACTAAGTTATTTTAAAAAAAAACTTACTATAACCCATGATGTCTCCATTGGGTGACTCAAGTACTTGAAAATATTCAGGCCAATGGGCTAAATACTGCATATAAAAAGGTAATCCATACTGTAAAAGTTAAGGGTTCAAATCCATGACAATAAGATGGCTGGTTATTATTTTAAATAAACATTCCTTGATATAAAGAAATATGGAGATGATATTATTATCTCCTGTTTTTATTATATAGATATAATTATCTAACTTGAGTGAAAAACTTAAAACTAATTAACTGTCGAACTCCTGGTTGTATTTATAATTAGACATATTTCCTGTAATTACAATTTTATTTTTTATTTTGTTAAATATTCAAGGCAATACATTGAAAGCAAAACCATAACTTTGTATTATTTATTCAATTGTATACTAGGAAAATCTCAGCCAATAACCAAGGATACAGTTTCTGTCAGTGGATCAAGATTTCTGGGGAAAAAATAAGAAAGAAAATATTATTTCAGCAGCAATCTTATCAGCCTAGAAAAAGATGTGATTATAATTTAATACTGAATTGTGCGTTTTCATTTTTAAATATTTCATGTGCCGCTATATTTTAATGAATTATTGGTCAATATTTTGTATTGTAATTTTATACTGAGCAGATTTAAAATATTAGAAAATACACAAGAAAAAAGTTACAACATCAAATAGAATGGATAAAAGGTATAAACTTCAATGAGGTAATGTTCAAGTTCAAGTGTAACTAACCCAAGCTAGTTGCCAAGTCCAAATAGCGAGCAATGACAGAATAGACTTGGGTCAGTATAGCCACTTAAAAAATTAATTTAACTAGGCTAATGTCCTGCATGTAATGTTTCAAAATCCCTCAGAACTGGAAACACCCACCTTAAAGTCTACATTAACAAAGCTATTATTTAATAATATAATTTTTCTAAAAGGCTCTCTTAGATGTGTTAATGTACATGAATGTAGATCTACTAGGTAGGGTGTTGCCTAAGATTTTAAACTTCATTATTGTTCAAGATGACTTAAAAATTTATAAAAGACAATATTAATTATCAAATTTAACCGGTAGCCTAGAAAATGATTTGTGAAAAAAAAACACTGTTTTTTAATGGCTACAATGATTTGACTGATACTCAGTGATATGGTGGGTTAGCTTTTAAGGAGTGTTTTTGTGACGGGATTGACAGTTCATCCCCGTTCAGCAGAAATGTGTAGTCTGCTAGATCTCTTCCCATTCAAACACACGGAGAGCAAAATGGGCGGGCTTAGTTAGCTGTTGTCTCGATTTAAATATTTTTTGAAGGTTTTGTTTTTATCCTGCATGTTTTTTTTTAAATTAATGAAATTATTTTAGTAGGACACAATATATAATTTTCCACAGTATACAGTATTTTTGAGTATGTTTACAACAATATTAAATAAAAATTTCATTGCATCTTAATAATTGAGGCGATCGAGTTGACGAGAATCCTTCCATAATGTTGTTGACATGGAATAAAAATGTGAGCTTTTTTAGATTTAACAAACAAGGCGACCGTAAAAATAATAAAAAAATAAAAACTTACGCCTTAAATTAATTCAGAAATTTTATATTTTTAGTATCAATGCTATAAAAGTTGCAAATCCAGAGAACTTGAAAATAATTTGTTGAGTTTAAGGCTACATTTCTACTTATTTCATCAAGCCTAAGTTATAACCAGATGTTTCACTTTCGTAAGACATATATTGATTGGCTGTACAGTACAGGAACTCCGTGATCGATAACTATTTGTTTACAAAACTTTGCAGATAAAGTTTTTAAGAATAATGCAAATTTAAACCCCATGACCTAGTTTTCCTTTTTTTTTTTTCGCTTACAACGTGCACAATAAAATTTATGGCAGCCAATGGAATAGCAGGATGCCATTGTTTATGTCGCCATTACACGTGAAAACCAAATTGTTTTTGCTTTTTTTTAATTTTTATTTAGTTACTGAAAATATTAAAAACATCAAAATACATCCAATCTTTAGTAAAGTCCGAAAAAAAACAGACAGACAGGATTTTATAACCATATTAATTGTAACTATGCCGTGCAGGATTTTTAAATTAATTAATGGGCCTCTCAAATACCTACTCGCTCACGTCCATTGAAAATAAACTTTGATGTAGTCTTGGAGGTGTTTCAAGACTACATCAAATAATCAAAGTTTATCATGCGCACTGATAAATCTGATCGTGAATCAAATGAGTGTGAGTCTAATCACTCATTGAACTCTAAAAAATCTATTGTGTCTTGACCTCCAATTAAGCGTATTTTACTAAAACACAATCAAAACACATCATACAAGAAATGTTAGGAAAACACTACTTTATTATTATTACTAATATTACCCTTGTCTTCATTTGTCATTTATGTTTTGTATTTTTTTTGGTTGTGTTTTTTAAATTTTTTTCACTAACAAAATATTTCCCCTTATCTTTATTCAAGAATTACTCTAGCAAACTACAATATACTTGTTATACATACACGTTATTAAATCTAAATAAATCATCACATCTAAATGGTCTTATAGTCGTCATTTTCACAGACAAGCACAGCTACTAAAACATTCCAGATATATTTCTAATTATAATAAATTTATAGTGCTCTCCCTTGCTTTGTTTTACATTTTATAAAACTTTCGCAGATTTCATTTTTCCTTAGATTTAAACCTAGGGTAAAACATACAGCCTAGCTAGTGGCTACGTTTGTATAGACTTAGCAGTACATCAGCAGTTCAATATAAACTATTTTAAAACATGAGACTGTATCTTACGCATTTAAATCGACCATTTCATTAAAAAGTTTGCGTTTTCCAACTTAATCTAGCCTGCTGTAACTGTGAGTTCATATTGGTTATTCTAAGACCAAGACTATGCTTTTAAATTCTATACATTGTACATTAAGAAAATATAACTTGTAACTTTCAACATATTAATATTAGAATTACAAATTACATCAATATATGCAACTCACAAATCTAGATCGTTATACTCTTTAGGTACAGGTTAAATATTATTCCATGAATGGTTTGGCTCACAGCTATGTTTACGATGCCAAAGGTTGAGGCAATGTTAAGTACAGTATATATATATATATATATATATATATATATATATATATATATATATATATATATATATATATATATAAAATTATTTATAGAGAGAGAGAGAGACAGATAGATATAGATATGTCTATATGTAAATATAGATTTATTTATATATTAAAGGGTTAGGATATTTTATTCAATAGAGATGTATAATTCAATATAAAGAGTAAGACTTTGTGTTCTTAGAATTTATTTATTTATTTATTTGATCTGTTTATCATACAAATATAACGACGGCTACTTGGTTGAAGACACTTTTTTCAACAGGTTTAGGCATTCTTTAACGAAATGTTTAAAATCAGTCCTATTTATAAAGTTTGTTTTCTAGTTGTGAGTTGGACAGTAGCAGGTGGGTAATTTTGAATGCTTATTTAAGAAATCAGATATAGAATCTAGTATGCGAAAATCGATTTTCATCTAAAGGTTGATTGGTATTCGTAAATAAAATGCATAGGCTAGTCGTTCTTTTTTTTTTCAGCCAAAAATAATAACCTGCGCAAGCATTTGACCTTAAATCATTATGAAGCACAAACTGGCAGTTTTGCCTAGATCTAGATCAAAATAGAAAAACGAAATAATGCAAGGGAAAAATATGTTTTATCTTTTAAATAACAATATATGTAATGTGTATATTGTATCATTTAGTAATGTTGCAAATTTAAACAAATAGCAGTTACTTTATTAGGTTAGACGAAGTAAGTTTAAGTCAGTTAATTTTAGCCAATCGTAGCCGTTGTGGGAGTTAGCCCGTTTTCTGACGTCATTATACTTTGCGTGATGATTCTCATGTTAGGAACTGGGAAGGCTAACGACAGTTAAGTTTCTATATAATCGGATATTTATATTTGTGTTTACGATGTTGAAGTGAAAGAACAGATTATATAGACGATCCGTGGTAAGGTTAGTAACTATTTTACTTATTTAGGATAGTTTTCTTAATCGAACAAATAAATTTAACGCATTCAAAACTTCCAATACAACTTTTTTTGGCTGCTTCACTTCGTCGCCGTCCGTTCAGTTTTTGGCTCTCGCCAGGAAAGACTAGTTTTAAAATTTGTAATAGAATTGTGTGTGTCCTTTATTTATTAAAGATTTTACACTTTTAATTAGTTAAAGCGGCTTTCTTTTTTATGGGGGTTATAGTTGTTTGACTAGAAGCAGGCAGGAAGTAGTATTTTGTTAGTTTTCTATTACAAATACTATCGCTTGTAAGCCTAGTCGTGTTTTCCAGCTGACTTACTGGCCTTTGTTGACCTATTTTTGAAAAAAAAATCGATACAAGAAGCCAAATACAATTTTGAAATACTAAAATTATTTCGTACTAGAATCTAAATCCAGTATAGACACTTCATCTGTCATTTATTTGAAAATTACAGCTTATATTTTTCTTAAAACATTTCTTTGTTCAATATTGAAGAACTACGTTACATCGTCCTTCCCTTTGCTATTGATTTTACCTCCCATCACAAGTTCAGAAAATTTAAGGCCGCGGCCAATCCTTGCCGCTTGCTACCAGTCACCACCTACACGCTGCGTGAACGTCTCGCACTGCCTGAGGAAAGTGTGTCAGTGAGATTGCTATGGCCCGGTGCCATGACTACAATAAATAACTGTTAGGTGTTAAAGAATATAAAGCAAAGGCGAATATAGCAATTTTTTATAGGCCTATGGCCTAACATTTAAAATTTTAGCATACACTATCACAATCTATATCTTAAAATTTAAGTAAAACATTAAACAAGAGAAACATACATGCCATATAGCACGTTGTAGACAGCAAGTAATATGAACTACATTTTATGTGAGAGGGTGGGGGGAGTGCTACTACTCTATTGAGTTGTTACAAAAACTTTATAGACCAAACTTAAGCTCTCAAATTAAATTACACCTAATTGACATAACCAATTGTAAGAAGGCTACAAGACAATGCGAGCAGGGTTAAGCCAAATTGAAAAATAACTGTCTTTGATAATAGCCTAATATCAATAAAATCACTAAATAAAGCAATATTTACATGTAAATCTATCTGCTCATTGTCATTGGGTAGACAATGTGTATGGTTTAGTTATCTTGATGATTGCTCTCACACCCCAGTGGTTTAAAAACCATATTTGTATCAAACAAACTGAAACAATTGTTCACACTATCACTAAGAATATTTCTGTTTTGACAAATTAATCAGAACTTATAAGTGTCATTCATACTCTGTGGGAGTTATATAAATATGTATATAAGTATGTTTTGGGTGCATATCATATTTTTTTGCTGCTTTTTCTAAACAGTAAAATCATTTACCATTTGTTTAATTATTATTATTAATTACTTTTTAAGCGTAATGCCACCCATGGCGACGTCTTCAGCAAAGCGCAAGTGGTCCGATGTATTCGGCGACAGAGAAATCTGTGACAAACAGTCCATCATGGATCTTTGTACCTCAAAGCTGCGCTATGTGAACCCTGCGAGGCCTCCACGCAGACGAACTGAAGTGCCTCTTCTCCGTAATGTTCTCATAGTCAACACTATGAAACACCTATCTGCTGAGATGAAGACAGAAAAACAGATGGATTATAGCACTGAGGATCTTAGTGTAGACCCAGGACACTTTGAGGGATTGCCACCTCTGTCTGAGCTGCTTACAGATATAATGCTTGATCCACAACCTAGTGAACAGCAGCAACCTTCTACGTCTTCTTTTGGCTGGTCAACCGCTGGAGGTCCTCAGTATTCCAGTCTTACTCCATTGGAGCCTACCATACCTTCATACATGGATTCAATGGAAAGTGGTGAAGAAGAGAAAATAGTCCATGACTTGCTGCCATGCACAAGTGTTATGGGTATTAATCCGACACAACACACCACATCTTGGGAGACTCGTAATGATCACAGACAACATACATCTTCATGGCAAGTCCAAGCTCATCAAGACCATCACTCTTCTACATGGGACTCACAGTGTGACACCAGTGTCCTAGACTGCTTTTTGTCAAGTGCCTCCATTCAGCAACCCACAAGTGACTCCTTAGACAATTTAACGTCCGATATAACATTCCAACCATCCAGCACTCCTTTACCTTCATTTACATCTTCTTTCTTCGAGACTTCCCATAATTCATCATATACAGCAGATCTTTTACAATCATCTACTTTGTCTGGGCCGGTGTCCACTGCATTATCCTCATTCACAACCACTTCCTCTTCATTGTCCTCATTCCCATCTATCACTACTGCTTCTGTAACAACTGAAGATTTGGTGAGTAACGTCAATTTAACAGAATCTGATTTGGAACTTCTTTTCTCCATGACTTTGTCAACAAGACGACCTCATATGTCTTTTGAAGACTTCGTTCATGCATTGCCCCTGCAGCAGACTACGCAGCCATCACAAACATTCTATGTGCCTTCGTCATTACAAACTAGTGGTAGCTCAAACTGTGAAAACTCATCCTCTACCAATAGTCAGTGTTCCAGCTATTGTCGCAGTGATCAGCCCCCACCAAGTGTCGATGACAGCAGTATGGTGAGAGTTCTAGTCAACCTATGATTGGTAAATAATTAAAACTTATTTTATTTTACATTAAAAACTAAGCCTTCTTTATTGGCTTCAAATGTAATTGCATAACAATCACTTCATGATGAGTGAACCAACGCCTTGGTGATTTGTTTGATTAGTCAAGACAATTCAAGATACATAGCTATTTATGATGCCTTACAGACTCATTTTATTATTGAAAGTGGTTAGTCAATGACAGGATGAAAGTATTTATTACTGCTTGCAGTGCTGTTCCATTTTCTAAGATAATGTTATTCAGTGTGCCAGTTGGAGTCAAGACGAGGAAGTACATTGGTGAAGCTCAGGGAAAGCTGGTTGATTGATGCAAAGTGGTTTCATTTATTTTCATGACTTATTACCATAGTGATTGTTACACTAGACCAGTGAACTATTAAAACTTAAGTAACAGTAATTACAAATTGTGCCTAATTGCTGTCTCAATTTTTGTATCATTGACCATTGGCTGCTTCTTTGGACAGCTTTTAATGATATTCTTTGCAATCGACAGCTCAGACATTGATAGGCTGCAGATGTGTGTATAAATTAAACAGTATCCTGGGATAAAAGTTTTTATTCTATTAAAATAGAATGATCATTGTATGAATGTTTTAGAAAGGCGTAATTTAACATGAAGGCCATATAAAATGGTTTTCTGTCTTATTTGTTTTGTAAAGAAATTCTCACTTGTATAGTTGTAAAACAACGTGATACTGTGTTCCTATGAAAAGGCAATAGAAAATGAAGCATTTTCAAATGTTGCGTATTGTGAAAGAATGTGATAAAATTAAGGCAGTTGTTTACATTTTTAATAATTATAAGTTGTTTTAAGTTACTAGCTATATGCATGCTTACATGTACTATGTACAAAAAACAAGAAATTGTGTAGATATTTATGATGTGTATTTTCAGGTGATACTTTGATATCACCCATTTAGAAAACTTTAGAAACCTTAAATTCTTGTAATATTTTTAGCAGCAGTTAATGAAGTACATTCTTGAATAGGTAGATCTAATAACTAGCTGGGACTGTGATGTTTAGGTATAACTGCTGAATTATTTTCCATTTATCAGAGTAAAGTAATGACTAGAAACCTAAATTATTAACTTAATTATTTTAGTTGGGGGGTGGGGGTGGGGCTCTCATTTTTACTCCTTAAATCATGAAGTGTTTTCCAAATATTCTGTTTTCATATTCATTAGATGAAAATCAAAACAACTCAAGATAGTCATATATTTGATTCCTTCACCTATTTCCAAAGTATGCATTGTTAATTTTACTTATTTTTGGCCTTGGTATGAATTTTAATGTGCAAAAATTAGTGGTGCTGCCATGTTAGTCAATTCTGTTTATTATTTCTATACGGTTTATTCATTTTTTTTTACCATATCTTCATACATAGGAACTAAGATTGTTATGCATGCTGTATGCTTGAACTTTTTTACATGAGTATAATGGAACAATAACTTCATGACTCTTCTTTCCAGGTTGTTTTTAACTTTCTTTTTACTTTCCTTTGCAGCATACTGTTCATTCACTTTCTGTTTCTAAATAATCTTCTCTTGGGGTCATATTCATTAATGTAGTTAGGTTAGGCATCCAATGAATCAAACTTAGATTGCATGTGTTTAAGAATTATTGTTAAATGGTGAATTGGCTGAAGTCAACTGGGTGAAGACCCAATTTCATACAAGCTAGTCATTAGTTGTTTGTTGTTGTTTTTTTTTTTTTACATTTTCATCAGTAGTACAATTTTGGTTTGTTGAGGTAAAAAAAAATGTATTCTTTTAGTAAAATATAATCATATTGTTTGGAATGTAATAAATGCATATAGTTGTTTCTTTATTTTTCTGATCATAAAACTATTATATTTTAAGAATTCTCAATTTTGTTTAGAAAAATGATATTGGACAAAATCACTGTTGGTGTATCCGTGGTATATATTTTAATGCTAAGATTTCTAAATTATTTTAAAAAGTTATTTTAATTTACTGGGTTTGTTTCTCTAAGGTAAAGGATGTCATCACGGTATTGTCTTTAGAGTAAGGCGTTGTTCCGATGACATGAATATGGCCCCAATTTAAAACCATGTCTTTCACTCACTTAAAATTACTTTTTAATTTATTAGATTTGTGTCAGGCTGAACACTTGGTTTCTAAATCATAAATTCTAATATAAGCTCTTACTGTATATAGATCTAGATCAGTTTATCTTAAAATTATATTTATAAATGAATACTGAGTTTCCATGTATGTGTACTATTCCTTGTTGGTTTCGTAATATTGACAAGTGTGAATGTTTAAAGTGTGTTGACGTTCAAAAGCAGAGAACTGTATTTTATTATTTATTACTAAATTTTTATCTCACTATTGCTCTCAATGTTTTGTGTATTTTAAAAAATGTTTTAAATGTAAAGTTTAATTGTAGACTTTTAATATTGCTACAATATTTAAAAGCTGAAAATTTTAACCATTTTAGCCATTGTCTAAAATAAAAGCCTGAATCTCTCCAGGTAAGTAACATGCAAATCATGTTAGTCTTCTATTCAATAAAAGTGCTTTATCATATTATTTTTGTAGATGGGCTCTACCAGTCTAGTGTCATTTTGTCAGCTGAATATTTAAATACTACCTACTTGATCTCTGTGACTTTCCATAATGTTGTACATTTCTTTAATTGACATTAGGAATGTTGTTTTTTCTATTTTTCTTCCCTATTTGCCATTTTTAATCAGGTTGTAGCATTTTTACATAGGACAAAAGTACATTTTGGCAATGCTGGTTAATTTTAATTTCATTTCCATTTATTTAACTTAATTAAATGCCTATTTTTCCTGGGTTTATGGTCAACTGATCCTTCAACAATTAAATGATTTATTGTATTTGTCTTTAATTTATTTTAAATACTATATTTTGTTCTGTCATGAAATAGGTATTTAATGTTTTCTTTTACAGTTAAAAGTATGACACACACAGCACCAATTATATTAAATTATACATGTCTGACAATCTAGACTGACTATAACATGAAATTTTTTTAAATTAAATGAAATCCACTTTTTCTAGTGTTAAATTCCTAGTTCTAGTTTTTAAAATCTTGCTTTATATTATTAAACTCTGAAATTTCCAACTTGCCAATTTTACCTGTTTATGCAAAAAAATAAAAACCCATCCTATAATTTAATTTTTATAGTATGTTAGCATAATTTGCAGTTGTATATAATGTTTTAAAATGCCAGTGACTATCAAATTCTAAACACTAAAATAGCTAAAACTATTTGTGTTATGATTTGGGTAATACAAAAGTAATTTGCTATAATATTGAGGCCAGAAAATAACAGTGAAGAAATTTACACAGCCTAGATTACCAGTACATTCCATAGCTCAAATTCAAATCGAAATACTAAGAATAGCTTATTAACATATTTATATCAAACCTAATGCATATAATCTGAGGAAATGCATTTCACAACATTAGTAAATTAAAATACAAATGTTGTGTTAAGTATTTTTAGTTGCTAACTATTTGCTTGACTATTTTTATTAGACTAATTTAAAATATCCTTAATTAGTTTTTCTGTATCTTAATGGTTTCTATGTATTAGTTTTTCATGCTTAGAGTTGCCCTAATTTGAGTGATTATTTAACATTCAGAATAATTTTCATGCTTTAATTACATACACAGAATCAAAAGTTGCCTTTTTATGTTATATAAATTAGTACTTGTGCACTTTTTTTTTTCATTTTGTTCTACACAACTTATACCAACCCTTGTTATTATTCTTAACTTTGTGTCCAAACTGGATTGCTACAATAAAGTGCTTTTGCTCATTATTTATAACTTTAAAATATGCCTTGTTTCATAATGCTAACCTTTATCATAAAGATATATATTTATATAAAAATTAATCAATTTGTAATAAAACATGATATGATTGCTCTTGTTTTGTTTGAATTCGGTAAGTTTAAAAAACATTTATGGTGTGATAATTTGATTTTTTAATTTCTTACTTAATGAATATGAATTAAACCAAAAAGTTAGTTGTGTCATTTTGTTTTTATGATTTTGAAAATCTGTTGTCATTGAAGATACTTTTTAAAATGTTTGTAATTGGATTTGTTTGGGTCAGTTGCAGATTTGCAACCAAAGACATGTTAGTGCTGTAACATTCCAGTAATTGCACATTTGAAATGCCAGTATATAGAGCTTCAAGGATTTTTTTAAAACTGTGTGCTGCTGTTTAGTTTCTTTATTAGTTTTATTTCCTTACATTTCTTTGACAGTGTATTGTACAATAGCTGTAAATTTTTCAAGGTGTTAAGGAGCCAATATATCTATACGTTATTTTCTTCTAATTTTTAAGGTAGGAGGAGGATGTTTTTTATTCATGTACTGGTAAAATGCCTTTAATTAATTATTAACAAGACACCTGTGTGACTTCACTTAGCATCTTCTGTACTCAATTCTGCTTCAAGGATGCATTACATTTTAGGGCTTAACTATATCCTATTTAGACTTAGATTTGAAAAGTTGAGCGTATAAACTAAAAATTAATTGCACTTTTTTAAAATGACCGTAAACACTGTACATAAAAAGAAAGTTTAGCTTTAGCCATATCAAATGAAGTGGAAAGTTTGGGCTTGCAAGTTAACTTTTTTTTTCTTTGAATCAACTTCTCTTGAAGAGAATCCCAGTTTTATTAAAGTTTATTACTGACTTCTTTGCTTGTCTGGTCAAAATGAATCACTACTACTTAAATTATTGGAATTTAAATAAAACCTTTAAATGAAATGTATTTAGCTGGGCTTCTCTTTGCATTACAGCCTTTGTTTTTTTTTTTAAACCTGATGTATTATATTTTAAAATGATCAAGAGCTCTGCATTTCTATCATGTTTTCAATTGTTTGTAGTTGAAGCTCTCAAACAGAAAAGTTTTCTTGTGATAAAACTCTTAACATTGTTTCAATAATTGAATCACTTTTGTCCTGAATCATTCCCTTTCCCTCCTCTCTCACTACCTTATACATACATTGTATATAATCTCCATGTACCTTTTTTTCTCTCTTCTGGTCTCTCCACATGAGCACTTGTTATGGTTAGTGTATTGATATTACTTCCTTAGGAAGATTAGGATGTTATAGTTTAGAACCTTCTATTGACAAATAGCTGACTGGTTGCCTTGTTGATTCATTCTTAACATCATGATTGTTTTTAATTAGAGGCTAGTCACAAGTCTGACAGGGTTAAGGGAGAGCTTTTATATCTCAGCAGTCATCATCTGTTTTTAAAAGTCCCTCCCTGCATACCCCCACTTCCTCCATTTTTTTAACCCCCTCCCAATGAGTCATTGTGATACATTATTATATGATTACAGTATGTATTCATCTTTATATACACGCTAATTTATTGGGGACGTGAACAGATGAAGAAAGTTGAAATACAGAGGTAAACCCTTTCCTTTTTAAAATCCTAGTCCCTTATTGTCATTGGACCAGAGAAAACTACCAGTAAGATTTTCATAGAGAGTAGGTCGTTAAGGCAGCAATTTTTTCTTCTTCTGCTCCGTGAATATGAAATCACAACCATAAGCAATTATTCCTTGTTAATGTTATTACATATTTATATCATTAGTTTGAGTGTCTCAACTACAGATCATGCATCGATGGTTTATTGCAATTTTATTTAAATTATTGAAATGATCAATTTAAAACATTACTGGGACTCCCAGATGATTTAAATCAAGTTATTTATACTTTGGTAAATAATATAAATAAAACATAAAATCATAAAGTTAAATTGGACTTTCTGTTGTTTTGTTGAAAAAAAATCTATTGCGTCGCTAGCCCAGCGCCTTGCCTCGTTTCGTTTCGTTTCCAACTTCGCTGCTGATCGAGTCAACGATATAATTAGTAACACATTTCAGCCTGTCTCCGTGTGCCTAGGCTGAACGTTGGCTGGCTAGCACGCCCTTGTCTCTCCCTTCTCCTTACCAGTGCGTGCGGGGAAACATCGGCCAGCAGATAAAACTAGAACGACCAGGCCGCCGTTTTTTCCCCCCTCTCCTCACAAGGGAAGCTAGGAAAGGGTGGCGTTACTGTACGTGTAGGATCATACAGCTATGTAGTTTTTTAAAAATCTTTCATCAGCCTTACACATACAGGCCTTATCCCAATGCACTTTAACCCCAACAATGTCTATTTATTCAATCGACGTTCTAATGTATTATTATTATAACGAGATTTGTTTGTTTATTACTTTGGGTAGTACGGCTAGTTCTACAACACAAACATGTTTACCACATCTAGTTGCCGAACACGACGATTGACAAATCATCACCGAAATGTCCTCTTAAAACAAAAAAAGCAAAACAGTTCCTAGGAAATCTAATCGCGTTATCTTTTTGTTTAAACAAATCTTGATCTAAGTGTATTTTAGATAATCCTAGACATCGCGGAGCCTTAGGTTATGATTCAACTAGAGCTGAGAGAATAAAGAGAAAAAACGTGTAATGGCCGCAAGAACTAACACGTGGGTAGTCTACGTGGCTGCTAGTTGTGACTTGTTTTAATTTCTAAAACTTTGTGTTTATTTAAATTGTACTTAGCATGGTGGCTATACTTAACAATTTGGTGAGTGGAAGTGATTTTAAATTATTATATGAAGGGGGGAAGAGCTGATGATTCGTTGCTTGTGCTGTGTACTGTAAAATTATGACTCATTGCATAGGAGTGGAGGGAGGCTGAGCTAATCAAGACTGAGGCGGTCCGTTAGATGTTTGGGGATATCGGCGGTCTAAAGAGAGGCTCAGTGTTAGGAGTCTCTGTGGTGGGGTGGTCAGTGGTTCAGATACAGGGTAGGGTGTTCCTAGTGGCGGGAGATATGTTCTTTTATGTATGCTCTTATGAAAGGGGTGGTTGATGTGTTGTATGTCTTTAGCGTTAAAGGTGGTTGATGTGTTGTATGCTCTTCATTCTAGTGGTGGGGAGATGTGTTGTATGTTCTTAATGCTAGGGGAGGGAGATGTGCTGTATGTTCTTAATGATAGGGGAGGGAGATGTGCTGTATGTTCTTAATGCTAGGGGTGGTTGATGTGTTGTATGTTCTTAATGCTAGGGGAGTGAGATGTGCTGTATGTTCTTAATGATAGGGGTGGTTGATGTGTTGTATGCTCTTCATTCTAGTGGTGGGGAGATGTGTTGTATGTTCTTAATGCTAGGGGAGGGAGATGTGCTGTATGTTCTTAATGCTAGTGGAGGGAGATGTGTTGTATGTTCTTAATGCTAGGGGAGGGAGATGTGCTGTATGTTCTTAATGATAGGGGTGGTTGATGTGTTGTATGTTCTTAATGATAGTGGTTCAGATACAGGGTAGGGTGTTCCTAGTGGCGGGAGATATGTTCTTTTATGTATGCTCTTATGAAAGGGGTGGTTGATGTGTTGTATGTCTTTAGCGTTAAAGGTGGTTGATGTGTTGTATGCTCTTCATTCTAGTGGTGGGGAGATGTGTTGTATGTTCTTAATGCTAGGGGTGGTTGATGTGCTGTATGTTCTTAATGATAGGGGTGGTTGATGTGTTGTATGTTCTTAATGCTAGTGGAGGGAGATGTGTTGTATGTTCTTAATGCTAGGGGAGGGAGATGTGCTGTATGTTCTTAATGATAGGGGTGGTTGATGTGTTGTATGTTCTTAATGATAGTGGTTCAGATACAGGGTAGGGTGTTCCTAGTGGCGGGAGATATGTTCTTTTATGTATGCTCTTATGAAAGGGGTGGTTGATGTGTTGTATGTCTTTAGCGTTAAAGGTGGTTGATGTGTTGTATGCTCTTCATTCTAGTGGTGGGGAGATGTGTTGTATGTTCTTAATGCTAGGGGAGGGAGATGTGCTGTATGTTCTTAATGATAGGGGAGGGAGATGTGCTGTATGTTCTTAATGCTAGGGGTGGTTGATGTGTTGTATGTTCTTAATGCGAGGGGAGTGAGATGTGCTGTATGTTCTTAATGATAGGGGTGGTTGATGTGTTGTATGTTCTTAATGCTGGGGGTGGTTGATGTGTTGTATGCTCTTCATTCTAGTGGTGGGGAGATGTGTTGTATGTTCTTAATGCTAGGGGAGGGAGATGTGCTGTATGTTCTTAATGCTAGGGGTGGTTGATGTGTTGTATGTTCTTAATGCGAGGGGAGTGAGATGTGCTGTATGTTCTTAATGATAGGGGTGGTTGATGTGTTGTATGTTCTTAATGCTGGGGGTGGTTGATGTGTTGTATGCTCTTCATTCTAGTGGTGGGGAGATGTGTTGTATGTTCTTAATGCTAGGGGAGGGAGATGTGCTGTATGTTCTTAATGATAGGGGTGGTTGATGTGTTGTATGTTCTTAATGCTAGGGGAGGGAGATGTGCTGTATGTTCTTAATGATAGGGGTGGTTGATGTGTTGTATGTTCTTAATGATAGTGGTTCAGATACAGGGTAGGGTGTTCCTAGTGGCGGGAGATATGTTCTTTTATGTATGCTCTTATGAAAGGGGTGGTTGATGTGTTGTATGTCTTTAGCGTTAAAGGTGGTTGATGTGTTGTATGCTCTTCATTCTAGTGGTGGGGAGATGTGTTGTATGTTCTTAATGCTAGGGGAGGGAGATGTGCTGTATGTTCTTAATGATAGGGGTGATTGATGTGTTGCATGTTCTTAATGCTAGGGGTGGTTGATGTGTTGCATGTTCTTAATGCTAGTGGAGGGAGATGTGTTGTATGTTCTTAATGTTAGTGGTGGAAGATATGCTGTATGTTCTTTGTGTGAAAAGATGGTTGATGTGTTGTATGTTCTTATAAAAAGGTTTGTTGATGTGTTCAATGCTATTCAGGTTATGGATGGATGGTGTGATTTACATTGGTAGTATTAGGGGTGGTTGGTGTTTTTTATATTTGTAGTATTAGGAGTGGTTGCTGTTTTATATTTGTAGTATTAGGGATGGATGTTGTGCTTTACTTTATGTTTGTAGTATTAGGGATGGATGTTGTGTTTTATATTTGCAGTATTAGGGGTGGTTGGTGTTTTATATTTGTAGTATTAGGGGTGGATGGTGTGTTTATATTTGTAGTATTAGGGGTGGATGGTGTGTTTATATTTGTAGTAATAGTATTAGGGGTGGTTGGTGTGTTTTATATTTGCAGTATTAGGGGTGGATGGTGTTTTATATTTGCAGTATTAGGGGTGGTTGCTGTGTTTTATATTTGCAGTATTAGATGTGGATGATGTGTTTTACATTTGTAGCATTAGGGGTAAATGATATGTAGTATTTGTCATTGTAGTATTAGGGGGTGAGCGATATGTCTTCGCTCTAAATATTGAATCTCTTGACCAAGGTGTGTTGTATTTTCTCTGTTTCGATGGGTGCTTTCAGTGTTAATGTGATATATTCGATATTTTTGGCGATCTCACGTTGATATTGGTTAAAAATTCGTCTTCTTCGTTCATGGGATTCCTCTACAAACTTTTACGTGTCGATTTGCCATGAGCCATATATTACACCGTTGACGACGATTACAGACTGATTTTTGCTGTATATTATAGCCTTTTTATTTTATTTTTGACGTTTTTTCTCCCTAGGAGTAGATGGGATGATGTTCCTAGCTATCTGCTCGGGGATTCGAACTGGGGACTTTTCGGTTTAGCTATAACGAGCTTTACCCGACCACACCGTCCCCATTACTCGCACATTGTTATTGATGGTCACACCAAGATTTTGCTGTCCCTGTGTTGTAGGCTGGGGTAAAGGATGTTTTGATGTCTTGGCCAGATGAGAGTGATCGCGTTGAGTTAGTTTCAAGACGGGTGACTTAAATATAGAATGTAACCAGAGTTTCTTCCAGGCATCTCTTCGGGGGAGGGGGGATTTATACAGAAAACATATATTTACCAGTGTCCGCCCCACCCCCCCCCCCCCTGCGAAGAAAGTCTACCGCCCCCTCCCCCCCCCCCCGAGCGAAATGGAATTAATATAGAAAATATATACTTTTAACAGTGTCCCCCCCCCCCCCTCGAGAAAAAAGTCTGGAAGAAACACTGAATATAACTGACGGTATTTTAACTACAAGTCAATGGTTTAATTTTACATGTGGAGTGACAGGTTAAATTTGGGTTGGGCATCATACGATCACTGTGAATATTTTTCATTGATTTAAAACGTAATAATTTTGTGGGGGGGGGGGGGGGGATATCTCGCCTTTTACCGGAGTATCCAAAGTTGCAATAATCCTATTCTAAGGGTTAATGTGAGATAGCGAGGGGGGGGGGGGGGGTTTATCTTGTCTAATCTTCCGTTTATTTCTCTACCGAGAATTTCCTGTACAGTCGCCTTTCAAGTCCTGATAACTTTTTTTTTAATGTCTTGACCTAAGCTTTAAAACCATGCAAGGTTTTGAAAAAAAAAAATTATTCCCCCGCGATGTTTGATTAAAATCCTTCAATTTCATGGACTATTCTTTTCACATCCCCCCCCCCCCATGTAATACCGTGTCACATTACACCAAGTCTGTAGGCCTATAGCACACAATCCCACAAGTATATCACCCCCATACGGTCTACACGGTGACGCAGGATAGACCGATCGCGTATCCAACAAACGATTGGGACATCACCAGTTCACTGCAGAGGATCACTGATGTCCTACACAGAAGAGGAATGTTCAAACTAAAACTATTTTGAAATGTTTCCAGCAACTTTTGTCGCCCATATGTATTTTTAATCTGGCAACTTATTTACCTCTGCGGTAATTTCTAATTTTTAACACGTTTT